ATATATATATATATATATATATATATATATATGTCGATATATTCATTCTTTTGTATAAAAGATACATAATACTAAAATTAGGGGTGTCAAAATAGGTTTTCGAGTCTGATTCGAATTGAACCGAGAATTGAGCCGAGTCTAAACAGGTTGCCCGAACCCAAACCTGACCCAATTTATAAACGGGACGAAAATTCAGAACTAGACCTGACCCGGCCGACCCATCGGGTTACCGGGTTGACCCGACCAGATCAGCCAACCTGGGATCACAGACTGCCAAGTCCGGATGAGAGGCGAGGCATCAGGTGCGGAATCGCTCTATACAAGAGAGGCAGCTCATGCAAGTGCGGGATCGCATTATTCAGGCAACGCGAGGCAAGCATTGTCGTGGACTACGAAGCCCAGATGCGAGGTGAAGGTCGAGTGCGGTGCGGGTATGATGGCAGCCGGCCTAGGTGCGGACTACAGTCTGGACACGAGGGGAGCTTGGAATCTTGTTGTGTAGTCGTGCAGGAAAGGCGAGCCGCAAGCACGAGATCGCACTGTGCAGGCAACGTGAAGCTAGCACGGGATCGGCGGATCGCATACTGCTGAGTCCGAATGCGATCACGCGAGGCGAGTGTTGAGAGTAGTGTATCTGTGCAGATATGTCAGTCTGAGTTCGAACGCGAGGCTAAGAGCCAACCAGCCAAGGCAAGCATGAGATCACATTATGCAGTGCAATGCAGGTGACGCGAGCGAGTCAACCTGGGTTTATTTGGGTTGTCGGGTCAACCCGAATTCGACTCAATTTTATAAACAGGTTGGAAAACGAAACCCGGCCCATATGACAAACGGGTTGACCTGAACTTGGAATTTTTTAGGTCAGGTCCGGGTGGGATTTCGGGTTGGGTCAAATATTGACACCCCTAACTAAAACATATCACACCTAAGTACCACTTCATCTACTAATAACTAATAATCTCGATTGATAATTATTAAAATCATGATGACTAAAATTACTATCAAATGCTTAATCTTTATTCAACTAATTTTATACCTTTTATCTTCTATAAAATTTTCTCTACTGTTCAAATATTCCATTTATTTCAATGAATGTCTCACGGATTATAATGATGTCATCTACCAACAATCATAAACTAAACCATCTCACTTTGAAAATTCTTTATAAGAATCTTCATATCTAATGCAATAACATGGACTCTAAATGTCAATCATTCATGTAATCCTAATTAATTGGACAAATAATAACCAGTGCCCCTAATACATATCATTAACCACTATTCAGGTAATGTGAGGTATCCTGGCCTGAATTTACTAAAGGATTTCATAACTCCTCAATTAAGGTATTGTTAACCTATTCCAGAGGGGCTAGTGGTCTCTTAAGTTTTGTTCCTAGACCATGACCTAGAAAGGCAGGCCTTTAAAAGAGTCAAGAATACCACCTTAAGGCCAAACCCTAGCTAGGTCATGCCTAGGCCTAGTAGACCTAGCTGCCCTTTATAGCCTAGCATTTAGGCCTGGCAAATAGATTTAGCTCCTAGTGACCCTAGTGGGACCACCCTAACACATTTGGCTAACCCCAACAAACCTTAGTAAGATGCCAACCTAGTCATGCCTCTAAACCATTATAGATTAAACCTCACATTCACCTGGACCCACTATAGCTTATTTAGCCAACCTCGCATCTTTGTTGCATCGAACCTTAAGGACATCAATCGTCAGCAACTACCTATCTAAGTCACCTCAGTCAAAAATTGGTCAATTTCAATCCTAACCTAGCTCAAATAGAAAATTGATACCCAGCCAGTCAAACCCACCTTTACACTCTCCAAAATGGCTAAATTGAACTTAGTTATAAGTTAACCATGCTAACTCAGATGATTTCGGCACAAGGTTGACCTAAGTTAAACTTGATCAAGATCGATCCAAGCATGTATATCAGCCCAAACCTATTATCCTGACAATGCTCAATGAATTCATGACTCAAATTGCATTGAAGTTAAACTGAATTAAGCCAAGTAAACCAAAACTTTGATTCCTATCACTTAACCACATCTCAGTAGTTTGAGTGTAATTTCCTCATTTCCAGATAAAGTTAAGTGAAACTGGGATATTCTAATTCTAGACTCGAGTCTCTTCATGGATTGACTTCAACACTGCAATGTGTGATCCTCATCACAAGTTCAATGTACATTTTGTAGGAGTAGAATAAGGCTAGCAAATCTAGGGTATATCATACAACTCCCAATTAAATAATAAAGAAAAAACCCTAATCTAAAGTAACTCTACCACCCCGATCCCCACCTAAGCAACCATCAGAAAATCTCTACCCATTTTCTACCACACAGTCAAAGCACAGGGAGATGGCTTTTAATCCTAGGATTGTGTGGTCCGAAAATTCATACCCCTCACTATTAAGAGAGTTTTAGATGTTTTTGTGTCAATTTTTTAAAAATAGATGAATTGAAGATAAGATACTATATAGAGATTTCACTCTCATTTTGCGATGACTTTATCATTTAATTTTAGGTTTCTCATAAGCGCAAGCCCCTATAGTTAATACTCCTCGCGAAGACGAGAGAGCTTTCGGTTAAGACTAGTCGTTAGATAGGCACTATGTGCTTGGTGTTTAGTAGCAGTAAATTGATTTATGATCGATTAAATTGTATAAGGAGATAAAGTTAAGGATATAACTTTAAGAGTTTAGGATGAGTGATTGAAGTGCAAAAGTGCCTCAGGATTGCTATGCAATTAGAGTTTGTCATGGAGACATTCATTGAAGAATAAAGAAATTATTAAAAAGACAAGTGAGCTTGATGCGTGGCAAAGCAAGGGTACATTCAAAAGTGATGAATTAAAGCTAAATCAAAAGAGTGACATCCATTGAAAATAAAGGCGCATAAAATAAGACAAGTAACTAAAATTCATGTCAAAAGCTTTGGAGAAACTATGGGTTGGATTGAAGGTAACTTGGATAAAACTTGTACAAAAATGTTTGTGAAAAATAGATTTCACACCTGATGCAACAATCAATAAGGACCGATGGAGAATGATAATTCACAAAGCAGACAAAAACATAACTATCATGAGAACAGTGATAACAATGAGCTATCCTCCTTGTGAAAGTAGCAAAAATATCTATATAGAAGTTGTTAGCAAATTTAGCAACAAGAAATAGTGCCAAAGTTTCTACACTTACAATACCCAATTGCAATTTGATAGCATCCGGTTACTTCCAAATGCCAAAAATACTACCAAAACCAGCACTAGTAAATAGTTGAGATAAAGCCAATGATGAAATGAAATATCCTCCTCATGTGAATCAAAAAGCTCAACAGATAAATTTTTACCAAATCTAGTAACAAGAAATATTACTAAAATTCCTACTCTTACACCATTCGCTTTGAATTTTTAGCATCCGATCACCTCCTTATGCCAAAACTCCAACCAAGACCAGCACTAACGAAAATGGATCTTCTGGAATTAGTTTTTCACAAACAACATTATCATAAGCCAAAATTCACCAAAAGCACCCACTCTGTACCCACCTTTTCTCATCTATACTTTCAACAATTCGTAATGACTTCATCATGCCAAGCCTAAACTGATAGGTTAAGTGGCACAGATTTATATGGTATTTGTAGTTTATGTTCATGCTCTTAAGGCATTCCCGATTGTACAGTAATGATGAAAAATGCTGGACAAGAATCAGTCGATTACAAATCAGCCATTTAGCTCCGCATTTTTAACTCCAAAAATGTTATCCTCCATTTATTTAAAAGAGAATATTGGAACCTATTGCGTTGAGATGAGGAATGTAATGTGAGTACTGTTTACCTCAAGTCAATTACCATTCTAACAGGATGCTCAGGCAACTTAAATAATATTAGAAAAGACAGCTTAGGCCATTACAGCTCGCATTTCATATAAAAGTTATGAGTGTTCAAGTTAGAACTATTTAAGTAGTTATACCTCACAAGGGGAGAGTCGATGCGCTTTTCACGTTTTTGTGAAGTCTCCCTCAGCCTTGACCTGAACAAGGCCTTCCTCTGTGCTTTAGAATCCATTTGGATAACTCCCGGAACAAACTTAGAGATTCATTAATCCCAACACGGGAGTCATTACTACTTCAGAGGAAAAACAGGCTATTAAAATTCAAACAGAAGGGAAAACAGAGGAAAACTGAAGGGAGGATGCAGAAAACCAAATCATTTCCAAGGAATTATGGGAATAAATCATCTACAACTGCTCGGAACATAAAAGCAACCAGATTAATCACAACAAAGAATGACTGTAAAATTATTGATCTGAATGAGCGCATGAATGGGAATTTTTAGAATTTTTGTTTCACATAACGTTCATTTGCATGGCTTCTTTCTCTGTTTTTTTATTTATCTATCTATAAGAAAGACTATTTAGATAATTCTACCCTCTCAAATCCTATTTTGCCCATATTTAAAAAAATAAAAAAATACCTTCAGCCAGCCAGCTCAAGAACACAATCTGTCTCCCTTGCAGCGAGCCCCCGCCGCAACGTTCGATCCGACACGAACATAGACGAAGGAGTCAAAGAATTTTTTTAGCGACTCTTTCAAAACCTACTACATGCGAAGCCGAGATAGCACAACGCGACAAATAAAAAAGCATACCGACATGCCTAAAGCTTTACAGCTTTAGGATGGGTATAGACAAATCAAAGAGAATAGATAACAATAACAATATCAAGCATTTATCCCACTATGTGGGGTCGGCTACATGAATTCTTTTTCTCCTTTGTGCCCTGTATAGACAGGCCAAAGAGAAGAGAAATCATATAAAAAGGCAGGTAATGGCAAAGCGAAGTAAGCCCTCCAATAAGCTTTTCTTATTTTGTTTTTTTTTAAGACCAAGGTGATAGTAATAAATTTTATAAATTAATTATCAGCCAAACAGATATTAAATGTGTTTAGAGTTCCTTGCATTTGTTCTTTGCTTTGGTTTTAGTTTTTCAAGTAATTTGTATTATAATGCAATATTATAAAAAAGTGCAAAATAGGTTAATAAGCTTGTAAGTATGCTCATATCATCGGTCATGATGACATACAATATTTTACTCTGAATTATGCATTTTTTTTAAATATTAATTCATTTATATCATAACTTTGCCAACACTCAAAAAAGTTGGACATGCCTCTCTCTCTCTCTCTCTCTCCCCTACACACACACATACAATACATTACACATATTTCATTTTTTAAAAAATAATTAAATTATACTGATAGTGTTTGATTCAAGATCAAACAATTTAGCAATCCTCAAAAAAAGGCCCTCTAAGCGTAGCAGTACCCAAGAAGAGTATCAAATACAAAAATAAATGAATAATTTAACCTTTAATGCTGTTAAAAAGCTCAAAACTCAAACCTAGCTCCAATTTTTACTCATCTCGGCTATTGTGGGGAAAAATGATGATGTGATAGTGTTCTCCTCAAGTATGAGATTTCACAAGAAAATATAAGAAAAAATGTACAATGTGATAGAACCAACAAATCTTATCTAAGCCTATGACAAAGCATTCATGGGAAGTCATATCAAAGTCACTCAAGTCAAGTCAAAATTTAAGGGGGTTTTTGTTTCAAGCTTTTAAACAACATTAGATGTTGAATTCTTCATGGTTTTTTTATTGGATCCGCTTCTTCCGTAATGCTATGCGCCTACGCTCAAAGTGCCTTTTTCAAGGATTGCTAGATTATTTGATTTTGAATCAAACATTATTAGTATAATTTAATTTTTCTTTAAAAAGAAATTAAATGCAACACGATCATACAATGCTTTTTTGTTTAGTAGCTTGTCGGGCACAAAAATCATGATTTTTAAAATTAGGCCCATTTAGGTCATCTCGTCAAATCATAAGCAATAGTAACTGCCCATTTTCTGAGACAAGACCACAAAATTAGATTTTTTTTTTTTTGCATTGGAAGCCCAGCACGTATGAATTAGAGATTTTCAAAAGATATGTTTATATGAACCATCTCACCAAAACTAACACAACAATGAATGTCCATTTTTCAAGAGAAGACCTCAAATATGGAGTTTTTGCATCAAAAGCTCATCAATATTTAATCATCAATGTTAGGAATATGAAGGGTCCTCATATGTTCCCCTTCTTTCAAATTATTCGTGAAATGTTGTTTGAAATGAAACTAAGATTTTTTTCATACTTCTCAGACATTATATTTTTGTGTCATGTTCGATCTCCTCTGATGAATCATCAAATCAAAGATGAGCTCCAACTTCGATGACAATTCTTATTGAAATCTCTAGGTGAGGACAGCTTCAATTTCAGTGACTTCATTTTGAACCTGAGATTTCTCAACAACTTCCTATGAAGCTACGACTACCATCTCCATAATTAATGTTGAAGTATACTTCATTACAACATTTTTCAGAGCCAACCACATGCTATGATTTTGGAGGAAAAAAAGTTTCTTGGGTTGCAGTAAGTTGATGCATGCATATTTTGGCTTATTTTCGTTTTATTGTAATTTGAATATTATAGTTGTGTTTTATATTTTTTTATGCTATCCAATGATGGAGAACATCCAATGATCATGGTAGGATGTGCTTAGACATGACAAGTCTTGGGTATGCTAGCTTTGTGGGCCCTTTTGTTCTTTGGGCTGCTTGCTGCCTCTCGGGTTGGGCCTTGGCTACTCTCGGGTTGGGTTTTGGATGCATTGGTTTTGAGCTAAAAACTTGGGATCTTCTTGGTGCTAGCTCATTAATGCTTGAGCTGATGTTTAGCTCATTATTTGGTGAAGTAATTGCACTACTTGGCTCATAAATTTGAAAAGGTATTCTTCTTTTTAGCTCATTATGTGGAGTTGGAGCTTGTCTCTTCCCCTTCTTGTGTCCCCTCGGTTTCTCCCTTGTGTTGTTCCAGTGACTGGTTCTACTCCCTTTGCTGGGTGCTAGTTCCGGTCCCCTGTGTTGTCTTTTCGGTTTCCTTCTTGAATGCTTTCCCGTGGCTGCCCCTAACCGATTCATGTGCTGTGACTGTAGACCTGTCAATTTCGGGTTACGGGTCGAACCCGACCCGACCCGTAACTGACCCGGCTTTATTCGGGTTCGGGTCAACCCGACCCGGTTTTATAAACGAGTCGTTTTTCAAAACCCGAACCCGACCCGCTTCGGGTTCGGGTCAACCCGACCCGACCCGTTTAGGGTTTAGGGTCACGCGAAGTCGGGTCGGTTTTTCGAACCCGAACCCGACCCGTTTCGGATTCGGGTCAACCCAAACCCGAAAATTCCGAGTCGGGTTCGGATCGGGTTTTCGGGTCGGATCAAATATTGACAGGTCTATGTGACTGTCTTTTTGGGAGCTGTTTTGTGTTGCTTGCTAGTTTTCCTCTTCCCCTTACCTGATTGGTTCGGTTGGAGGTGAAAGTTTGTTGTTTGGCTCCCCTTTTTCTTCTATAAATATGAGGTATTTTTGTCATGAAGAGGTTGTTGATTCACTTGAAAAAAGCTTTTAAAAACCTTAGGGTTTATTCTCTTCTCTTGGAAAAGCTTGAGAGCTTGTTCCAAATATTTCTTCCTCCTCTCTATTTTGTCTTGGCTTCTAATCTCTTCTTCTCTACGCAAGTTCCACTCCACTTGAATCCTTCTTCTTGAGCTATTGGGAAATGTTTGTTAGTTGATTTGGCAGACATTTGCTAGAGGAGTTTGATTGGACGTTGAACCTTATTACTGTGGTGGACCCTTGGTTTGCAAGCCTAAGCACTTTATCATATTTTACCGACTTTTTGTTCCATGTGAAAGAACCGCTTGCCAGTTGTTCTGAGGATAGTATTTTTATTTTATTATTTTGTTTTGTTTGTTTGACTTTTCATTTGTTTTGGTGTTTGTTTGGATGTCTGCATTCTAGATTGAATCGAGTTTGGTTTCATTTGTCCTAGTGTTCTCCTATTTGACTTTTCTTTCTAGTTTGCCTGGATCATAAGTTTTCTTCCTTGCTCAAACCTTATTGTTGTGTTTGGAATGACTAAACCTCTGCATCTTTAAAGAAAATTAAAATCCTTCTATATCCCACATCATTCCTCACCAACATTGTTGCATTCCCCCTTCCCCATATAAGTCTCTTCTACAATCATTCAATTAGATGTTGACACCAATAATGGGCTATACGAAATTGGAGATTCAACTCAACATGCTAAAAAAGTCAATGATGACCAAGAAAACCTACCAATTGAGGAGACTTGTTGATCACAAATTTGTTGAACTCCTTTCTATTAGGAGAAAGAAACTGTTCCCTCCTATCAAACAAAAACGTTCATCCAAAGGGAAAATTTTGCTTTGAACTTCTTACGGGGAAGATGCTGATTTATGGAAGCTGATTTAGAACCTCGAAGAAATGTGACTACAGTTTGATGAAAATGGCTCAATTGCTTCGAAGAAAAATGTTGATGACTTGCTTATTCTATTTCCCCCTCAAATGCCTACGAAAGAAATCTTCCCTATCAAAGAAATGCCTTAAGAGGAAGATAAGCTAATTCAAATTTAGTGAATAACTCGAGGATGCATGATACTAAGCAAGTAAAAAAATTAGATCAACTAGAGTGGCTTTTTTTTTTACTTTTAATATTGTTTGCAGCTCAAATGAAGTATTGAAGTCCTTAAATCTTATTGGATCATCAATTTTTTAGTTTTTGTCTGCACCAACGGGAAGAACTGCCGTGCATTATAAACAAGTGAGTTGTCAACTGTGATCATTCTTCACATAATCACTAATCATCACAGAGTGAAAGGATGCATTATGACTATGATCATCACCCTCAAACAATTCCTCACAGTGACACAAGAATTCCATGAAGTATACTCATGGCAAGGCTATGCTGAACTAGTCGCTAATTACTTGAGATCATGATAATGATGCGGGCCGCCGCCGACCGGCAGAGGGGGGGGCGGCGACCCCGGCAAGCTCGGAAGCGACCGGAAAGGCGGGACGCGTCGGCCGACCCGCCGAGGGATCGCGCGGAGGGACGCGGGCGCAGCGCGTGACGCAGAGCGGGCGGGGGGGCTTCGGCTTGAGCGGAACCGGTCCATTTCTGGACCGGTTTGGCTCGGGTCAGCCCTGAGCTGGGCGGTTCAGCTTGGGCAGCCCACTAGTGGGTTTGGTTTGATCTTTTGCTTGCTATAAGTGGGAAATGAGGGGGGATTTTTAGGGTTATGCAAGATTGAAGTTTTCTCTTAGCCTCTTAGTTCTTTCTCTTGTTTTTTCTAGGGTTTGTAGTGGGAGACCTTGTCCTTCTCGAAGTGGACAAATTGTATCTTGTTTCTCTTGGATTTTGAATGCAAACTTTCTTGTTCTTCCTCTCATCTCTCTTGTGTTGATTTTTGTCTTGGATTTGGAAGAGAAATTTCTTCTTTGGAAGAG